CTCTATCCATAATTCTATACCCAAGATTTAGTGTCAATGATATTGTGATACCCTCTATCCATCTGTCTATAATTCTATACCCAAGATTTAGTGTCAATGATATTGTGATACCATCTATCCATCTGTCCATAATTCTATACCCAAGATTTAGTGTCAAGTATACTGTGATACTGTCCATCAATCTGTTCATAATTCTATATCCAAGATTTAGTGTCAAGGATATTGTGATACCATCTATCCATCTGTCCATAATTCTATACCCAAGATTTAGTGTCAAGGATATTGTGATACCATATACCATCTATCCATCTGTACATAATTCTATACCCAAGATTTAGTGTCAAGGACACTGTGATACCGTCCATCAATCTTTTCATAATTCTATACCCAAGATTTAGTGTCAAGGATAATGTGATACCATCCATACATCTGTCTATAATTCTATATCCAAGATTTAGTGTCAAGGATATTGTGATACCCTCTTTCCATCTGTTCATAATTCTATACCCAAGATTTAGTGTCAAGGATACTGTGATACCGTCCATACATCTGTCTATAATTCTATACGCAAGATTTAGTGTCAAGGATATTGTGATACCCTCTATTCATCAGTCCATAATTTTATACCCAAGATTTAGTGTCAAGGATATTGTGATACCCTCTATTCATCAGTCCATAATTTTATACCCAAGATTTAGTGTCAAGGATATTGTGATACCCTCTATCCATAATTCTATACCCAAGATTTAGTGTCAAGGATATTGTGATACCATCCATACATCTGTCTATAATTCTATACGCAAGATTTAGTGTCAAGGATATTGTGATACCCTCTATCCATCAGTCCATAATTCTATACCCAAGATTCAGTGTCAAGGTTATTGTGATACCCTCTATCCATAATTCTATACCCAAGATTTAGTGTCAAGGATATTGTGATACCATCCATATATCTGTCCATAATTCTATACCCAAGATTTAGTGTCAAGGATATTGTGATACCCATTGTCCATAATACTATCTCCTACACTGCATGATCAAAATTCAAATTCACCAAACTTTTGTAAGTAAGTTGCCCATGAAGAAACCATGTATGAGTCAGGTACAGTATTTGACACATTTACTGCTGGTACTTGTGAAGGTTGAAATGTAAAATCCCCCAAAACTGCAATTATAGTAGCATTTTTATATATAATTAAACTTCATACAATGTAAAAACAACAAATGGATATGCAACATTTTTTTTTTCCGACCACTGGGTCATGGTATGGAGGAAACATGGTAAGATACAGGTCCAAGGGAAGATGGCAGATGATCAATGGGTTATAATATGAAGGAAGGAGGAGGGGAGTCACGTTTTTTGGGGGTTGGTGGGAGAGTATGTAATAAAATATTGTGGTGATATGAAATGGCAAGACATGTTGTTGTTATTGTTGTTGTGGGGCTTAATGCCATTTTTTAGCACACAATAGGCTATATATGGCAGCCAGTATTAATGGTGGAGGAAGAAACTGGGAAATCCATGGAAAGAACCAATTACCCATGAGCTTTCACACATATCCACATTCGCCGAATCTATAACTCAAACCCACACAGGCAAAGGTGTGCAAGAAATGTAATTAACACTAGTTATGACTTAAATCATATTGAATCATCAAAAAGTAGTTTACATTTTGTAGGAAAAAGATTATCCATAAACATTTCTTATTGTGTCAATGTAGAGTTATAAACTAGCAAGAACAAAACTATTAACATGAACAAATGTTCAATACAGCACTACCTCACTATAAGGCCTACATTATAACATGATTATTGTTCATTAATCCCTTTTCATTAAACTGAGGTAAAGTATATACCTTCATTATAATGTCATTTCTCTATTAGACTGTATATTCTATGGATCCCATGTACAACATTATAATGAGGGATTATTATGTATCACACTGCTCTGTTTACACTTGTCCTACCTTTCACGGCAATGAAATTAGATTAAGAACTATCATAAGGTGGAGAGATATTATTTTATAATATCTCCAATCTAGCACAAAATATTCTTTAATATAAAGATTGTAGCAAACAAGAATAACAAAAAATACAAATGTATTCAAAAGGACTGATTCAAAATGAAAACATACTTTGTAAGAACAACGATTTCAGTAAAAATGAATAAAGTAATGGGAATAACATTTACTCCACACTTACTCCAAACATTACTGCTTAATGTCTAACCATTTACTAGGACATTTACTAAGAAACTTAAATATACAGTACAGTTTTCATGTTTCATTGACATTGATGCACAAAACTACATGTGTTTTGTTTTGGGTCAGTGGAAAGAATGAATATAATTTGGCATAGGAATATATAGAAGATTTTAGGCAGAGATGTTATTCATGAGGCATATCACACAAGTTTTTCCCCAACATGGAACAAAACATAAATGCAGATTTGTGTTCATTATATGCCCATTCTTTTATGCTTTTTAAATATTTTTAGCTTTCTGGAATGAAATTAAAACAAATCAGGATTATACAAGTTTGATTCACTGTGTCTAAAAATATTGATCCATGGACATGAAAAGACACAAAATATTCCTAATTAACCATGTAAGATTAAATGGTAGTGCAATAAAATCATAGCTCAAAATCAAAAGCAAACTGATTCAAACTCATGTAAGGCAGTGGAAAGTATTTCTAATAATACAAACAAGCTATCAAATATTGGTTAATAAAAAAAAAAGTGAGGTTTGTAGCAATTATTTAAATTTAGCAGTTGTCTAGAAATGTGCAGGATAAAAATAGCTTCATTTCAAGCACTGAAATACAGATCTACCACGGCAAAACCAAGTTTGCCTTCAACTTCTTGCAATGCAGATCTACCATGGCTAAAACAAGGTTGCCTTCAATTTCAAGTTCTTGTAATGCAGATCTACCATGGCAAAACCAAGTTTACCTTCAATTTCAACTTCTTGCAATTCAAATCTACCATGGCAAAACCAAGTTTGCCTTCAATTCCAACTTCTTGCATTGCAGATCTACCATGGCAAAACCATGTTTGCCTTAAATTTTAACTTCTTGCAATCATGAAACTAATTCTATCAAATCATCAAGCACACTATCACTGTGTTCTCCGTATCATCTGATAGAAAAGTTCTGTATTTTCCTTCATGGAATTAAAGTGTGCACAAAATATCAATTTGGTCTTCACATTTGTCAATTACATAATTATAAAAATGATGTATGCCAAAAAATCTTAAAAATTATTTAAAAAAAAGATTTTGCAATTTTTTTCCTCCAAAAATTTATTTCACTGATCACATATCATTTAAACTTAATAAAAATCACAACCAAATACCAGATAATTCTTACTACTATTTTATTACTGTCTATAAAAATTCATACAGAAGCCTTCTAATGCCCAAGTTATAGAAAAATATCCAGACACTGCAAGCTTTCTACATGCAAACAATTCTTAAGATTTTTTTCCCAGATGAACACAATGTATAAACTTTTCCAAACTATCATAAAATCACCATTTTAATTTTGCACAGTTCATACAGTCAAACTCCATGCATTAAACATATGCTGTGGGCATAAGAAATGTTTGTCCAATGATTTGTAAAATGTCTATAAATAAAAGAAACTCCAACCCCATCCAAAATAAGATAGCCATTCAAGAAATTAAAGTCAGCTTGATTTGAGACAAATTTTTGTAAGGTTCATGTATTGCATTAGAATTTCACTGATATAATTTGAATTTAGCAGGTGGAAACTCAATCTCAAACTCAGACTGAAGGTTTTTTTTTAATTTTTTAGTTTTCTGCTTGATTTTGCCTTAGAAGCCAGAAATAAAAACAACTCCTGACTTGACATTTTGTTTTAACCAATCACAATTATTACTTTTGAAAGCCAGCATGTGCTTGCCTGATAGCATATTGCAACTAAAAACTCAGTTTTATGATCTGCTTGCAGTAATTGCTGGATAAAGTATATTGTCAGCAATGAAGAAAGACTTGGACCTCAAACACAAACATTTTATTAACTAGAAAAAAATGTTTTACAGGACGTATGCATTGTAGAAGCAAAACACACAATGTGAACATATAATATATAACTGACAATTTATTTCCTAGTTTACCAGTATAATGGGATTTGAAAGAAAGCTGCAGTGTAACCACTTAGTTATGCACAATAGTTAGTCTGCAAAACCTGGTATCTAACAAACTTGGTATGTAAATTATGGGTTTCAATGATCCCAAGTCAATGCCAGATGTAGTTAATTGCCTTCACTCCTCACTATAATAGCAAATATAACAAAGCAAGCAGCAAGATAGAAATGTTATAGGCTGGTTTCTTAGCCAATGACTAGAGTACTGAGGCTTTAGATTGTAAGATCAAGAAACATCATTTATAAACTGGAATTATACCTACAAGTGTTTTACCATTTTTAAAGCATGTGTATGAGTGATGTGAAACAAAGCTTCAACAATCAGTAAAATCAGTTAGATTTCAAAAAGCAATGTTTAGAGAATTTTTTTTTCTTCAGTATTTGAGTCCCTATCATACTTGTGAGACCATAAAAAAGTAAACAGTGTAAAACTGAATCCTGATAAAGTATATCTCAGTACCTTTATCATTGAAATGATATGGTAGTACAACCAGCTGTATTGTATGGTAAATACCTCAAACTTGCTCATTACAATGTCCACCACAACAGCACTGTTTGATTTAGTGAATTTGTGGTTTGTATTTAAGGCTGACATAGGTCCAAAACGAAAATCTTATGGAATTATGCATATTTTGTGGAAAGTTTTTGTTAACACCTAGATCTTGATGGTTCCTATAGGCTGAGCTGAGTTTTACACAATTTTGGTACCTTGTGGATTTTAATTTATTTTTGTTTGTTTTAATGGCACTTGTAAAAAATATTACTGGCTATATTATACCAAAGAAATGGGAGCTAAGTGCCTTCTCAATGACACAGAGGCAGCTGACACAAGCTGGCAAGGGCATGTACCAAACATGCTACCTTGGATTACAAGTCCAATCCTCTACCAACTGCGCTACCACAGCTCAAGGTATAAGTTAAAACAGTCAACTCTCATAATAATCACACTAATTAAAATGAAATATAAGGTTCTGACAGAAAACTTAAGAGAACAAACACTGTATGATAAATTTGTCTGTATAACAGAATATTGAGCTCCTGATTTTCACAGCAAAGTCCCGGTCACCAACAAGCATAGTTCCTTTATATACTATTCTTTCATTCCTAGCAATTTTCCTTTTCCTGGAAATATTTAACAGGATATGATATACAGGGTTCCCACTTTCTAAAACAAAATTTTCCAGGTCTTTTCCAAGTTTTAAATTGGATGACAATGTTTAATTTAACAATAAACCCTTGCTAAAGGAACCAAAGACATATTGGCCCTGAAAACATGCATTTTTTTAAAAAGCTGTTTCTCTTCTAAGATGATCCCAAAATATCTGAATGAGATATATGATGATGTACAGAACCATAGGGTATAACACTAGAAACAAGTACAACTATCAAACATCTTATAAATTATCATTTAATTCAGTTACATTTACAGAATAAAACTTTAAATTTCACTCTGCTTAACCACATATGATGGAATGAAGAAAATGTATCTAGAAAAGGATTGTTTTACATTTTGAAAAAAAGCTGTTAAAAAGATTATTTACTTGATTTTTTTCCTAAAGCCATTAAACTTGACTATGGACCACATATTTAATGCAAATCATTGTCAAGTATGCCCAGTGCACAGGATTCTGCAATGAAAATTGTCACAGCAGTTGCAACATTTCTAAATAATTAGTTAAGGTCCAATAGTAATTTCACTGGAAAGGCAAGATGTGAGTGTACATAGTGCAAAAAAGGTTGCTTTTGATGATAATGTTTAATGATAATGATGATGTATTTTCCAGTGTTAACTAACAAATCAGAATACATCTTCATTAACCTTACATATTATAGAGGAAAATATGGTTGAAAAGTTTCATTGCTTTTCTCTCAAAGTTCTCAATAACACAAGTCATGAACAACCCTCTAACACTGTATAAAAAATAAAATATTGATATGGAGGTGACTTTGGGGAAACCAGTCTACTTGACCAGTCAGATTGCATGAGTGCTTGGATTGAATATGCAAATTTGTCTAGAGCAAGCATCTGATTGATCCAATCAGCATCTGTACCACAACTGACATAAGAGGTCTGCAACCTGTGAAAAGTTTTGTAAGAATGCAACAAACTTAACTTGTGATCGGTTCAATTATAACTCATTTATATGTTTTTTTCTGTAATCATGTGGAGGCAGATAATTCTGTATGCTTACAAAAGTTGGATAAATATTTGCAAAATTAAGGACTATTTCCTGATAAGAAACAAACCCATTCTTTTTACTGACTTTTTCCTGGTCATGTGTGAACCCTGCATAAAAACATTCTTAGAAAGTTTATTTCAAAGTAGGAAATTGTGTCCAAGATTTAAAAATAATTATAATAACATTAGATATAATGTACAAATTTATATTTCTGACATCATTTTCTGAATTATGCATGCTAGTGTGACTATGATAAAATGAAAAAAAGGATATCTGTGTTCAATGTAAGGTGTTCAATGTAAGACATGAAGTTTGCATGGCAATTTTATTACTATAATATAATAACTCGTAATGAATTTGGTCATTATAAGAGGAGTTGTCTGTACCATGTAATTAGTGTAACATGTTTCTGCAGGGTTAATATATATATATATATATATATATATATATATACACACACACACACACACACACACACACACACAACATGCCACTGATTTCATTATTGCTATAGCATTTTAATTACCTACCCAGATTTTAGCCATCATAATGAGCAACTTGAGAGGCAGATTAAATTTTTGCGTGACTTATGTACAGGCTTAGTTCAGTACAATGAAAACTAACTCAAACTGTCATTTCATTTCTACACTATCATGAAATTTATAACAGAAGAAATTTTCAAATTACTGACAGGTGAATGTATGAATTTTCTCAATGCAGCCCTTACCTCTTGCAAATTTAGTACAAAATTATATTGACTTAGAACATAGTGCAAGATTTTCAGTTGCATTATGTTATTTACCAACATTTCTCCATATGTAAATCCCTGGGTACCTAGTCAGTTTGATTAAATTTCTTTTAATAAACAAAAATTAATACCTAAAATGAGCAAGGCAAGAAATTTTAAAATCAACTTTCAAAACTGTTACTTTTTACAAAGGTCTGTGGGATCTGGTTTGGGGGAGTTGATCTCACTCGTCTCAATACAACAAAAATAAGTGCAAGGTGAGGAAGATGAAAATAAACTGCAGCTTGTGATGTTCTTGGTGTGTTCAAGCATTCCAAAAAAACTATGCAGGGTTTTTGTCTGTTTTCATATGTATCACTGAACTTAAAATGACTGTGCTTACAATGGCAATACAAAAAACAACATTGGAAAATAATTACAGCAGTTAAAACAATGAATCTGCAGCACATCCCACCCTTTAGACAGGTTTCAGTGCATGTCAAATAGTCCAGCTGACACAGGAAAGGTCAGAGGGGAAATAAGCAGGATACTGTAACTTTTGAACTCTTGGATGGTTTGCATATGCTGTCATCACAGTGATGATTTCACTGAAGATTTTCTGAAATGGAGAAAAAATTTATATTTTGATTGTCTGAATAAATTGAAATGAAGATGTTGCTGAAATCCTAAATATGGGGATAGGAATGCTTTTTTCTGCTAAATTATCTAATCACATCTACATTCAGGAACTTCTCCCAGAAAGACAAAAACCATCTATTTTTCCAAACTGCATACTACATGGAAATGGAACCTACATGATGAAATTCTTCCTAGATACCATTAAATATAAAGCCCTTCCCTGTCTCTACCTACCTGTATACAAGATGTCAATAAATTAATGCTTGAGTAATAAATTAATGAGGTATGCAGGGTGGTGGGGAGGACTATATAAATCAGTGAGGATTGCAGGGAGGTGTGGAGGATTAAATAAATCAATAATGATTGCAGGGAGGTGTGGAGGACTTAATGTGACACCATTAAATATAAAGCCCTTCCCTGTCTCTACCTACCTGTATACAAGATGTCAATAAATTAATGCTTGAGTAATAAATCAATGAGGTATGCAGGGTGGTGGGGAGGACTATATAAATCAGTGAGGATTGCAGGGAGGTGTGGAGGATTAAATAAATCAATAATGATTGCAGGGAGGTGTGGAGGACTTAATGTGACACCATTAAATATAACGCCCTTCCCTGTCTCTGCCTACCTGTATACAAGATGTCAATAAATTAATGCTTGAGAAATAAATCAATGAGGTATGCAGGGTGGTGGGGAGGACTATATAAATCAGTGAGGATTGCAGGGAGGTGTGGAGGATTAAATAAATCAATAATGATTGCAGGGAGGTGTGGAGGACTTAATGTGACACCATTAAATATAAAGCCCTTCCCTGTCTCTGCCTACCTGTATACAAGATGTCAATAAATTAATGCTTGAGTAATAAATCAATGAGGTATGCAGGGTGGTGGGGAGGACTATATAAATCAGTGAGGATTGCAGGGAGGTGTGGAGGACTTAATGTGATAAGAAATATGTGTTTCTGATGAATTAGTATAAATGTTAGAAGAAACATAATATACATTAAAAATCTCCTTGATCCATCAAAGACATTACCTCATTATACTGATCTTTGGAAAATAGTAACAGGAGGAATGCAGGGGCACCCAACCCCCATCTTGATGACCCTCCAGGTCTGTACAGACATACATATAGGTATGGATATGACCACTCTCCTTATGAGGGGTCAACACAAGTAATGGATAACTATGAAATCAAGCAAATGATAATCACTATCAACTTTTACTAGGTAACAAGGTGAAACACATGCTATTCTTTATAATAGAAAAAAATCCAGCAAAAGTTTTAAATTGATGTGCATGATGAGGCTCTTTGCCTTCAACAGACTGGTGACTGGTGGACACCTGCTCTACCAAATTCAGCTCTCTTCTCTGCAGGATAAATCCTAAAGGGTAAGAACTGGAGAATGCTGATTATCCATGTCAGTCAACAACCACACTAATATCCTGAATGGAATGATTTTGATCAATTGAAAACTTTCAGGAACAGTTCTTATCCCATGTGCTGATATATTCAGGAGGTATGTTATCTTCAAAGACCTACAAATACACCCCCTCCTCCTCAAAAAATCACTCATTTTAAACCAAGAGGTTAATGCTTTGGAAGTGATGTCCTGCCTTCTCTACTGGACAGGAACAAAAAAAATGTCTTTGATAACCACAAAGGACACTTTCAGAGTGTGTAGAACTGCATCACAACACCAGAGTACTGATCATGGAGTTTTTCCTCTCTAAAAGGATCATGTAATGACAGAAACCAAATGATGACCTTCTGATTATCTGTAGATGGCAGCTGGTTCTGAGCTACAAAGTCTGGCTGCATCATTAGAACAAGTGAATCAAATAAGCATAATGCAAATAGTTCAGGTCAAATGAAAGATCAAGTAATTCACTCAACATGTCATGGTCAAAGCCTTCAGGAAGCAGGTCTTGCATGAAAAAAGATTTAGCAAGGTCTTGGATAAGTACCTTAACTTACAGGAATTGAGCAAAAGAACCCCCTGAGATTCTGTTTGGGAAACAATGAGCGACCAACGCAAATTCTAATTAACAAAAATTGGTCAATAAATCAGAAATTTCTTTCACATGGCTTATATCCACTTTTTTCTCTTCATATAGACAAAAAAAAGAAGTCTGTGAGTTGAGGGGTGGAATGAATGTTACCATTCTGGCATCATTACATAAATGCATGCTACATTCCGCCATTCTGTACACCTTCAAAATGTAGAGCTTTCTAGATTGTGTGATTCTCTCCATGATCCAAGATTTGAGCTACTGCAGGGCTTCCCATTCATTACAAAAAAATGTTCATCTAGGATCTTTTCTTCAAAAGAGCTACTTGTATTGGGCATATTTGTAAA